CTTCAGCACGTCAATATTTAAATCCCCAGTAACAAGCAATAAACCGTCCCACGAAGTTGACAGATCCGCCAACATGCTCTCCATTTGGGACATCCACTGCGGTTGGGTATCTAGTATTCTTGTGGATCTGTATATGGTTCCCATTAATAAGTGACTATGTTTATTGCGTCCTTGAATTTCAAGCCACAAGTGTTCTAATTCAGGGTATCTGAATTCAGGGTGGCACATGTAAATCAATACGGATTTGCTCATAGAGCACTTTGATTTTTTGTTTCTGCGTGTTTAGAATCTCGACTACGTCACGATCAATAAACAGGCAAAAACGAACTCGGCCAATACCAGCCATCTTGACCTCACGCTGGGGCAATAACCTAAATTTCTCAGAATGTTTTGATATTAATGCATCAAGTAGCATAAACAAAAAGATACATGAATATTTTCTTACCAGTTGCAAGTTGCTAAGAAGCAGGGATATTTCAATGTGCAACCGAAGAGATGCAATAGCTGATGAGGAGGTAGATGGTGGAAATTTCCACATATGTTTAGTCAGCACGAGTGTAAAGTAAGTAATTTACTGTTCGTGAGCAAATATAGTGATAAACAATGTTAGAGATACTCGGAAATTTCCATGTATTCTTAGAAAGAGCTGATGTAATGTACTTTCACATTTCAAGACCAGAAGTTCGAAGAATTTGTTTTCTATTATGAACGGATACAAAGATACATGACCATTTTCACTTATTTTTATGCAACAAAGAGCTGATAGAAAGTAAAGAGGAATGGAGAGTTCCTTGAACCTTTATGCAGCACTGGAGTAATTATACGTACATAGGAATTTCCAAGTGTTTTTCTCAGTGGAGTGCAGATATACAGATACGTGGAAGTTTTCGTGTATTTTTAGGGAGCAGTGATGCAGCGCCGATAAAAGGAACACAGAAATTTCCCAATACCTTTTATTTTATGCAGCACAGACGCCCACAATGTCAATATCATGAAGTCACTATCAATATCGTTACTCCGGTAAAATATTTAATAGGTAAATAGCTACGAAAATTGTATCAAGCTATTTTCGTATTCTCATGCAGGCATGAAATTGAGCTAGCCTGCGGAAGAGATAACGAAAAAGACCGACTGGGACCGCAGTTTACCCACAAACAGTACAATTAAACAGCGCTATCACCTTCTAAGTGCAAAACAAGAAATAATGAAAATCAACCAACTCTATATTTCTTCATTATCAGTTACTAGATCAGTATAGATAGCCGCGTTCATTTACTGTAAAAAAACCGTCGCTACTCAGAATTTTTATTGAATCGCAGAATATTTAGTTTTAGTTTTAGTTAGTTTGCTTGTTTGTTTGTTTGTTTGTTTTGTTTGAAGACACCTAAGTTAATAGCATACAACATTTACAAGCCTCTACCGTCAGCTTTCAGCTTTATTTACTGGTAGTAAAGTAAACTAAAATTTATTTTTAGTATGATTTTGTAATGAAATAAATACGAGTACTGAAGGAAAATTTATACACGCGCACTCACGCAAGACAGAAACAAAATATTCCTTTCCTTTAAAGAATATTGAGTTATGTAATAAAATCTCTAGCAAATAGCCGGTATTGAACCGGGCACAGAATATTTAATTTACGTTTTTTGTTTGTTTGTTTTTTGAAGACACTTAAGTTAATAGCATACAACATTTACAAGCCTCTACTTTCAGCTCTCAGCTTTATTTACTGGTAGTAAAGTAAACTACAATTTATTTTTAGTACGATTTTGTAATGAAATAAATATCATTACTATGGGAAATATTTATAAGCACGCACTCACGCAAGACAAAAACAAAATATTCCTTTCCTTTAAAAAATATTGAGTTATGTAATAAACTTTAAACAAAAAGTAGTTTTGAACCAACCGAGGCGTTGCTTCTGCCGCAGCGTATAAGAGCCTGGTGGCAGGCTATATTGAACAAGTGCATTATGTTTCATACATGCTGTTCTCGGAGGCTAAGGGGCAGGTACACGGATGACGATCCTGAAGAGGTCAAACGAGCGAAAGCAGTACGGACGAACGTTAAAGTGACTATCTGTCCTTGGTTCTCTCGGAAAGGATACCTGAGCGCAGTTGTCAATTATCTATTAAAGATTTACATTGCCTTAAGAAGAGTGATTTCCTTTTTGTTATCCACTGGAAAGCTACCTTTTCAACAAATTCATTTAAAGAGAGTTTTTTTTTTTCAAAAGAATTTTAAGCATAAAAATATAGTGTTGGACTGATGAGTAATCTGCGTGAAGTAATTCATCTGCGCGGGAGAGCGGAAACCAATTTGTCAGTTGACGTATATTTAGTTTTAGTTACTATTTTTATATTTTTTGGTTATGTATTGAGCGTGTTACTAAATTGCCCTGCTGCGGGTATATTACGTAATAAAACTTATCTGTCCACACTACGCCGGAAAAATTCGAAAACGCAGCTTTAATTTTTTGGCTAGGCCTACCGTCCACTAGTAATCCGTCACGAAAACGGGGCTTTTCAAAATCGCTGTTCAAACAGGAAGAATTTGGAAACGCCGGCTTTGCGTTTTAGTGTGGACGAAAAAAATGCATTTTGAAGACGGAACTTTTCGAAAATTATGACGCCAAGATGATAATTTGATTTCCCTGACCGAGTTTTACTCAAACACAAATGCAAAATGACTAGCGATATCTCAACTTTTTCCGGCTTGGTGTGGACGGAAAACAGTTGATGCGTTTTCAGAGTGAAAACGCCGTTTTTAAACTTCTCCGGTGTAATGTGGACGGAGCAATAAAGTCCGGTTTATTCCACGATTCCAATAAATCATGCTGTATGTATTTTCGAGATGATGTGTTGTACGTTAATCGTGTTGTGTTTCATTATCGTTATCGATGATATCGGATAGTGGGAAATCTAACCACGAGGGCTCAGAGGAGCACTCCCAGAAATATTGGGTGCGACTCAAAGTCGGTGTATGCGCCCTGACAAGCCGTTGCGGCACGTGCATGGTTGGAGTCATGTAGCTGTCTTGAAACATACCCAATTAATTCACGTGCACGATTGGCGTAAAAATTAATGATAAAGAAATAGCTTCTTGAAACAAGACCAGAGCGCAAAAACCATACCCTATTTCAGATTAAAATGGCTAAAACCTATACTCTATTCAGACCAATACAGCTCATAAACCATAGCCTTTGAAGCCATACATACCTATATAACCTATATATAAAGCGGTTTTCAATTGAGTGTCGAAACTAATCAGGCAATTAATTTGGTTTTGGTTCTGGTTTTAGTGCGGCTTGAGATTGGCTGAGTGGTCTAATTGGTAAGTTATTGGTTTGGCGTTCGTTTTACAACACTCAATAAAAAACCGTTTTATAAAAGTAACAACCATCCCGGTAGGAAACTATGTGGCTGAGAAAATAAATAAAACGCCACAATTCGTGAGGGACGTGCCACGAAACTAGAAACGCTATATCAGGATCGATTGCGGGATTCATGTTTATTAGAGTTCTTATCAATGCGGAAATAAGTTATATTGTCAGCTTGTGGCTGCCTTAAAAGTGAATGTTATTTTACTGACCTTAGTCATCGTCAGCGTTTGTTTTTCGTAACCAATCACGCGGTACAGAAGATTGTCATTCATCATTCTTCATGCTATGTTGAGCCTTATAAATCTCGTGCGTTACTCGTTTGGTGCAAACTGCACAAAATAACAGGGCTTGTCACTGACTGAGGTAAGTGAGTTTACGTGCATTTGAGTAACGAAATGAGTTTAAACGCTGGAATGACAAACTGCAGCAACAAGTAAACTCTTTCTGTGTAGACATTTCATGGACCAACTGGAAACTGAAAAGTTTTCAGTCCTCTATAGACACGAACACCTGGAAGTCAGTGCTAAATTCTATGTATTTATAGCGCGTGAACATCTTTTAAATGCATTTATCTTCTGAAACCATTTTCAGTGGACAGAAACTGAATTGAAAAGCTTGTAGAGACATGATGCAAATGTTTAGCTTATGAGCGAATACATCGTTTATGATTCTGCAGAAAGCTAAACGAAACGGTAGGATTATAAAATAACCCTTTTGTTTTACATAACAACGTCGGTGATACTAACGTTAAGGCGTAAAGGAAAGGTATCCCTTACAATATTTGATTGCTAAGGTTTATAGATATTACGCCAAACAATTTGTAAGTTGAACCTAAATTGCAACAATCTAAGTTGTGTATTTTTTGTATTAGGCTAATTATGTTAAGTTTTGAGGGTCGTAGTTTTATACAAACAATTATTTTTTTAGAGGGAAGGTTGGGATTAAGGAACTTCTTAGTAGAATTTTGCGGTAGATGGCAAACGTTAACGTTCTCATGTGTTATTGGTTTCTATGCAACCAATCAGAGCTATTGAAGAAAACATTATACGATATGACGTCTTGTTCAATCTTGCAAATCTAACTCAAGTGTTTTTACATTCTGTAAAACGCACACTAGGCTCGTCGAGTTTGTTACAATTTGCATTATTTGTCTAATGTAAGTTTGCTTCTAGGTCTCATAGGAAACGAAAGATTCCAGTCTCCAAGCTTATTATTATTTTCTTATTTTATTTTTTTTATTATTATTATTATTTTAAGTCGTAAACGTGGGGTGTGGTTGCCCAATCTCCCGAGCCAGGGGATGATTTCTCCATCAGACCTAACGTGCCGTAAGCTTGGAGTACTCCTAAATAAGGCAAGAGTCAAACATATTGTTTGAAAAGAGACTCTTGTATTCGTCTTGACAACGAGCTCGAACTCAGTGAAATTCAACACCCAAATCCTGTTTAAGTTTCACAGGAAGTTTTAACCATTAGGGTAGAAAACACAAGGTCGAATATATGATTGTTAGTTGACCAAAATATAGAAATAATTTGCTCGAATAAGGACAATATAAATTGCCCAATATCTACTGAGTGTGGTAAAATGGGGGTCGAGATCAGGTAAGTTCTAGTTAGCAATATCTTTCTTTTTTTCATGATATATACAGCTGAAAAGAATGATATTTTGAAACTTGATGTCCAAAGCTTCTTTTCTGTGGCAAGCAGCAAAAATAAAATCGCGTTCCACTGAAAACTAAATGCCAAAGGATCGAAAGAATTGGTTCTCGCGATTATGTAATAACGGGCGCAGAATAATATATAAAGCATAATTCATGATGAATTAAACTTTTATTTCTCATTTCACAACAAAATCTTCAGTTTGAAAAATCGTGTTCTCGGCTTCTAACGAAATCACGATTCATGAGAAAACAAATTAGCTGTTTCGCATTTCACGGGTAAAAAAATAAGCACGAGATGATTACGAACCTTCATTCTTGAGCAATGTTTATTACCATAGGAATTCTTAATCCACGGCCAACTCCAATTCTTAGATCTGGGAAACGACAGAGCCATAGCTTCTAAATACCCCACTGTGGTTCAATTTAACTCTAACTGAAAGCATGTACAAGGATCTGCTTTCTGACAAGCGTTGACTTCGTTCCTTGTGCAGTGCATTTTGTTGTTTCTAAACGTTAACGTTCGTTTCTTCACAGCAAGACACCTAGGATCACGCCGCAGAACATGAATTCCTTTTCCCTCGGTATTTTGATCGGCCTTCTTTCCTGTTTGACCGGCAACGTTTCAAGCCAGCTTCGGAAATGCTTGGGTAGCTCCAACTACTGTCCTGGGCAATATGGAGCCCTGAAGGCGGTCTGCAAAGCCGGATACTGTTTCTGTACTGGACAGGACTACGACTATAACACTTGCTTGCGTATGTTGTTTGGTGCAAAAATCTTGGTCAGATAAAAAGCATAAAAGATGGCCCTTTGGTGCGGGATTATATATAAGTTATTAACCAAGCGTGAGGTCAAGATGGCTAGAGATTGACCAAGTTCTTTTTTCCACTCATTTTTGCGTGTTTAATGGCCGAGACGGGGTCGAGGTCCAAAAACAGGAAGAAAAAAAACAAAAGAACGAGGCCAATATCCAGCCATCTTGACCGCACAGGCTTGGTCAATAAAGGATTTGTTATATGGGATAAAGAACAAGTTTTTCTTGCGGCACACAGCACGTAATCCCGAGCGGACAAGATATCGCCATTTTGCCCGCCCCGGTAGCCAATCACAGCGCAGGATTTGGTTTATCTTGCCCGCTCCGCAAGCTACTAGCTATATAATAATAGTTACTATCACCTGTAGAAGTGTGGAAAGCACATCGTTGAAATATTTTAGTTTTAATTGCAGTTACACTGTACTGTGAGCTGATCAAAGGCGATTATCTCGGACTTTGTTAAGAGAAGAAAAGTTTTACTGTAAATTTCTACCGCCTGCCGGTAAAATATGGAATCAAATGGAAACCACGTCATCATTATTGCGGCCTATGCGCGCATAAAAAGGGGCCTTGTCCCTGCATCGCGTTCCCTTGTGTGTGCCGACCCTAATTAAGACATGCCTTTTGATTTTCAGCTGATGCGTTTGGATGTCGAATCAAGACTAAATCTAATACAGCCCTTGGCAAGCCACAGTATAACAACCAGCAGCCCAGCGTTATCTACAGCTGCACGCCTGGCAGCAGCTCCACACAGTACGAAGTCCACGTAATGTCAGTGTACGAGGGGAATAGACACACACGCCCTCCATCCGCCGGTGATACTAATGTCAATATCGTAAGCGGCGGCCAGTCAGGCCGGCCTATTATACTCGTGTTTGCCAGTTACGAACCTGTTAACTGGATTCTTAATTTACCAGCTGGCATTACCATCAGTAAAGTCATCTTGGTGAGTATACAAGACGAGAAACTTAAACCAACGAATCATTTCAGATACAATTTAAAGAAGAACAAATTAATTTCGGACAAGACTATTGCTGCATATTCTCAGAATTTGCAGCTGAATAATCAATAAGTATCGAGAAAAATAAAAGAAGTCATATTCTTTTAACATCTGAGTTTTTTGGTTCACTTCATCTCAACCATATCTTAACATGTTGCTGATTCCTTCTGAGTAGAGGAGCAGAGTTCTTCAGTCGTAAACCAGTTTGTTTTTGTTTTTTTATTTATTCCATTCTAAAATTACAACGATAGATATAAAGTAAACAAGTAGAAGAATAGAAATGGAAAAGGGCAAAAATATAGCAAGCTAATTAGATGCCCTTGTTTAGATGACAATAACAATTAGGATGAAAAAGTTAACTTAACATAGGAGAGGAAGAAGTATGAATTAATTAACACTGAGCAAAATAATACTGGTAGAGTACTTTTTTAAAACGTTTTCTAGTTGCCAAGTTACGTATAGATAAAGGAAGGTCATTCCAATAGTAACATCCAATAACAGTGGGGCAAAATTTCCTTATATTTATTCTGGCAAAACCGGGATTTAAGTGTTGTAAGGATGCACTTCGAGTAGC